TCAAATGTGCTAGGCAGTGATGGACAAACTTGGCCCTCTAGCTGTTTTGGGACTACAATTCCCATCATCCCTGACCACTGGTCCTGTTAGCTAGGGATGATGGGAGTTGTAGTCCCGAAACAGCTGGAGGGCCAAGTTTGGTCATCACTTAACTAGGGGGAACCCATTCTATTCTGGTGGAGGACAGACTGCTGTCCATCTGGTAGAGCCCCCGTTCTTACCAAATACAAAGAAGCGCATATTGAGTAACTGGTTGTGGAGTGTTCCTACCCCCTCCCCAAGGAAATGGCAGAGCTTTTCAGAAATGGGATGTTCCTGAGAGCAAACAAAATGACAAGTTTGAATTAAAGCTGTCAATAGATGAGTGCATTATGATCGATCTGGGAGCTGAATGCTGGCAAAAGTGAGTGTTTCCTCTGCTGGGGCAAGGCTTTGTCACTTGGATGACTAACTAGCCCGTGGCCCTCCAAACTGTTGCTGGACCCCAGCTCCCATTAGTCCTGAGCATTGGCTGTGCTGGCGGGCTAGTGAGAGCTGGATTCCAACAGCAATCAAAGGACTACATGTTCCCCTAACTGTAACACACAGGGGTCATGCATTCCTTTCTCTGTTTCAGTAGAGGGCCTGGGCAGGATACCAATGTTTGCCAGATCCTCAGTAGCTCACCTTCCCAGAATAAATGCAGTTTATCAGCCAAGATTCTTGTGTGTGCACAGAAAATGGCAGCAGAATTGGACTCTGGCATGGCAACTTCCAAGTGCTTTTGCGTCTGAATTTGTTATATTTGGTTATAATGTGGTCTGGGAAGGTATCGAGTCCCTAGCAGGAGAGGCCTCCGCTTATGAATGAAATGTGAGCTCATACACTCTCGTTGGAGTTGGATTGAACGAACAATGCCATGCTAGATCCTGGCAAAGATAATGGAGATTGGCATGATGCTATCGAGGCAGTGGCAGCAAAGAGGATTTGATATCTCCCAGGAGGGATTCATGATTTGGAGAAAAATGCTATCTGTGTCGAAGCGTGGTTAAAGCCTCAGCAAGGATGCGATCAAAGGTCGCATTTAGATCCTCGGCGGGTGCCGCTCCTTTCGGTCCAGCGCCTGCCAACTAGCAGTCCACCTCGGGTGAATAATAAATAGGGACCGCTTACCGGGAAGGTAAACGGCGTTCCGTGTGCTGCGCTGGCTCACCAGATGCAGCTTGTCACGCTAGCCATGTGACCCGGAAGTGTCTGCGGACAGCGCTGGCTCCCGGCCTCTAGAGTGAGATGAGCGCACAACCCCAGAGTCTGTCAAGACTGGCCCGTACGGGCAGGGGTACCTTTACCTTTAATGCTATCTGTGGCTACTACTAATAATATAATAATTTTATTATTTAAACCCTGCTCATCTGGCTGGGTTGCCACAGCCACTCCACTCTGGGCGGCTTCCAACACATACAAAAGCATAATAAAACATCAAACTTTAGGAACTTCCTGATACAGGGCTGCCTTCAGATGTCTTCTAAAAGTTGTATAGTTCTTTATCTCCTGGACATCTGGTGGGAGGGCATTCCAAAGGGAGGGTGCCACAGCTGAGAAGGCCCTCTGCCTAGTTCCCTGTAACTTCACTTCTCGCAGTGAGGGAACTGCTAAAAGGCCCTCAGTGCTGGACCTCAGTGTCCAGGCTGAACGATGGGGGCGGAGATGCTCTTTCAGGTATGTAGGGCCAAGGCCGTTTAGGACTTTAAAGGTCAGCACCAACACTTTGAATTATGTTCAGAAATGTACAATGGCTATGCTCCACAGTCAGAGGCTGTAGGCTTCTGAATACCAGTTACTACTGGAAGCCACAAAATGGGAAAGAGTTCTTGTGCTCAGGTCAGAACAAGATGCTGGACTAGATGGGCCACTGGCCTGATCCAGCACGTTCTTATATTCTGGAAACCGCCCCATATTTCCTATGATGTGTATTTAACTAGTCTTGAGATGTCTTGATAGGTGCTGTCAGACTTAAAGGGAAAGCTGACCTAAACATGACAAGCTGCCTTCTACCCAGTCAAACTATTGGCAACATTTAAGACCACAACTCAGTAGTAGAGCATCTGCATTGCATGCAGAAGATCTCTGGTTAAATCCCTTGGGTCTCCAGGTGGAGTGGCAGCTGTTCTGCAGGGCTTCAGCCAGAAGTCTTTCGAGTGAATTGAACTTTGGACTCTGCATGAAAACCCATATGCTCTGTTGCTCAGCTGCAACCTTTCCCCAAGTAGTCCAGTTTTGGGGCTAAAGATCACAATATTTTGAAGTTGGGTAGTAAAGTGAGCAGCTTCCTTCTTCTGGATTTCTTTGCTAGATTTATATTATATTGGAAGTTTGCCTTAACCTGGATTCCCCTCCCCCATCCCACCAAACCATGTTTTGTTGAGAGTTCAGGAATGTGTAGATTAGTTGGCATCAACAGTGCTGGCTCCATTCCCTGCAGATTTGTCTGTTGCGTTTCAAGGTTATTTTGAATAGTTGTCCTCTACATTAACAGTGCTATTTACTGCCTTGTTTTCACAACCCTCTTTTCTGTTCAAAAATACTCCCAAGCGGCTGCAGTATTAATGGGATTAAACATCCCATTCAGGTATAAGTGGCTAAATCAACTCAGTCAACTAAGACCTGATGAGAGCCATTGCATCTCTACCGCCTGCTGAAAGGTGGGCAAAGGTGGACCCTGAAGGATCTATCTCCACAGCCTCTGTGCCACTGCAAAAAGGGCCTCTTCCCATGTGCCCAGCCGGTGGAGGGTTTCGAGCAGTCTCCAAGTTCACCCTGGTGTTCAGGAAGATTTGCCTGGGTTTTGTGTAGGTCTACCCTGTACATAGGGACACGGGTGGCGCTCTGGGTTAAACCACAGAGCCTAGGACTTGCCGATCAGAAGGTCGGCAGTTCCAATCCCTGCGACGGGGTGAGCTCCCATTGTTCGGTCCCTGCTCCTGCCAACCTAGCAGTTCGAAAGCACGTCAAAATGCAAGTAGATAAATAGGTAGGGAAGGTAAATGGTGTATCGGTGTGCTGCTCTGGTTCGCCAGAAGCAGCTTAGTCATGCTGGCCACATGACCCGGAAGCTGTACGCCGGCTCCCTCGGCCAATAAAGCGAGATGAGCGCCGCAACCCCAGAGTCGGCCACGATTGGACCTAATGGTCCGGGGTCCCTTTACTTTTACCTTCACCCTGTACATGCTCAGAAACTGTCACTTGTCCAAAGAGAGCAGCTGGAGTCTTAGGAACAAAGGAAGCTAGCTGATCCTGGACCATTGAGGACAGGGATGGCCAATGTGGTGCCCACCAGGTGCTGGGGTACAACTCCCATCGTTCCTAAGGTCTGGCCATAGTGACAGGCTGTTGGAAGTTCAGGACCTTAGAGCTCAAGCCCAGCAGTTTGGATTGAAATGCAGTTCCTCCCCAAGTGATTTACCATTTGCAAATTCACTTTGCCCCTCTCTCCAATGACCAATCTTTTTATGGAATGAAAACTGGGTTCAGCACTGTCAGGCTGTCCCCAAGCCTGGCTATTTCCATTTTTTAGTTTGTATAATAGCACTGCTTTAGTTGGGACTGGCTAGTGGGCTGTGTGCAGAATGATCCATGGAGAGACCATGCGGACGAAGCTGGAAAGGAGACGGAGCGAAACTGTGGAAATACTTGGGCTGCGGATCGTGGAAGCACAGGATGAAAAGTGCTGAGTTGGCTTTGCCCAAGTGCCAGTAGATGCATGAGGAGGAGAGCCATGTGCTTGCAGATTTGAAATGGTATGGTAACAACTGGTCTGTTCCGTGAGCTGTGAAGGTTGGCGCTTAGCACAGATTGCAGCGGGCTTGGCATTTAATAGGAGAACAGCTATGGCCATTCCTGGGCCAGGAAAGCCTGGCTGCAGGAGTTCAGGCACTATTTACTTCAAGCCTGGATTACAGCAATGTGATCTATGTGGGGCTTGCATTGTGCTTGAACTGGCAGCTGCAGTTAGTGCAGAATGCTGCAGCACAGTGGCTGACAGGAGTGAGCCCCCCCCCACCCCGCAGCACTGGTTGCCGGTTTTCTCCTGGGCCAGTTTGAGATTGTTAGTACCTATAAACCCTCAGCAACATGGTAAACATGGGACCACTTTGCTTGTGAGATTGCCTTACTCCATATACACTCCATATACAAGCCTACCTAGACATGTAAACTGTTGACGTGTTATCATCTGTCTTTAGAATATCATTGATTTCAGGGGGGTTTTATTAAAAAAATGTGTTAAATGGCTGCTTTTAACTGTTGTTATAAAAATTCTACAGTCTCAAATGCAGAATAAATGTTCATAAATATACAAGGCAAACAAACATACAGAAGTACAGGATGAGTCTTTAAAAAGAGGCCCCATGGAACGTGTACTCTGTATCCACGGGGCCTCTTTTAAAGGACTTACCCTGTATATAAACCACGTGTCTGAAACAGTACAGGAGAGCAATCCTGAAGCCATTTTGACTCTCCCAAAGTGACCTCAAATATTTATCTGCAAGGAGGAAGGAAATGGGGAAAGCTTTCCAATTGTCTTTGGACTGGATGGGCTTACACCTCCCTGCAAATACAGTCTGGCAAGTATCTGTTAGGCTGAGCAAACTATCAATATGTGTAAGAGATTCGGGAACTAAAGTATTTACCATCTCAAAGGAATGGCCAGGGCCGCCAGGCTACCCAGAAAATGCAATCAAGTAAGGCGTTTCCGTGCGCTGCTCTGGTTCACCAGAAGCAGCTTAGTCATGCTGGCCACATGACCCAGAAGCTGTATGCCGGCTCCCTCGGCCAATAGAGCAAGATGAGCACTGCAACCCCAGAGTCATCCGTGACTGGACCTAATGGTCAGGGGTACCTTTACCTTTTAAGGCATGATCAGGTATCCTGGCAGACAGGAGAGAAGCAACACTCTCAAAATTCTGCTGGAGACCGCCTCCTTCTGTGATGTATGCATGATGTTTGGGGGGGGTGGTCTTGGGCTACAGAGTGGGCAATTTCAAAAGTCTTTATAGGTGTTTGTGCACCATTGTTCTGGGTCTCTCCTACCTCCTTGCAATGAGGAGCGGGAACTTTGTTGCAACAGAAAAATAAAGATCTGCCTTGCCTGCCTTCCATGGATCTTGCTTCCGTCCATTCATCTCTGACTGATCATGGACTTAGGGGACTCAGTCCCTTGGGAGTTGGGCAGCAAAGCCAATCCCCCTATTTTTTCTATAACACTGTCTTTACTGATTATTTTATTGTCTTATTGCACAGGTCCCTCCTCCTTTTTATATACATTTTATTCCAAGAGACTGTTAGACATATTATCCTTCTGTTTCTTTGCTGTTCCATCATTTCCTAGTCCTTCATTGGTTCTAAATAAGATACGAAGAGATGGCTAAGATATTTCAGATTTTTAAGGGGGGGGGGTCATGCTGTATATACACACAGAATGAAAATCAGATCAAAAACAAAAGGCCATGCCCCAAGTTCCTTAGAAGGTTGGAGATTCAAAACGGGGGACTTCTCAATTTCAGTTTAAAAAGTCCTCGTTCTTTCAATCAATGCTGTGTAATTCTCAAAGTGACCACTGGATGGCAGATGAAGCGAGAGAGCTGTGCCAGAAGATGAGAGGAAAATGGGTGGCAGAAAGAGAGTAAAAATGGGGTATACAGATTAGTCTCTAGTCTCTGCCAAGTGGTGGCTTCAGCCTATCCTGCTGCCAGCATGTGGACCCTGACAGAGTACCCCCAAAACAAAGTGGTCCTCAACAGAAAGAAGCTTGCCCACCCCTGACATCAGACACCTCAGGGTGTCTTTCTTGCAGAAGACAGGATGAGGTAGAAACTTGCGGCAAAACTGGCACCAATGTCTTCATTTCATTCTGCTCTCTCACTTGGCTTGGAAACAGAAACGGCAGAGAGAGAAACTAGGGAGAGTGTGAGCCTCTCCATTCTCCTGGGTCTCTTTTGCAGAAGGGGGAAAAAGGCAGGTCCCCGAAGGAGGTGACGTTGATTGTTCCCCCACACCAGGACTTCCCCACCCCTCGCCCGGCCCCAGGGATCTTCACACTTCCGTTTGATCCCCTGCGCTTTTTATCATCCGCCAACTAGTCTCGCTTAAACATTAATGGGAAAAAATTGCATGCAGAAATACCGCATCGGAGATAAGCACAGTAGCAGTCAGGAGCCTCTGTTTTGAAAGTCCTCCAGCAAGGTGAAAATGGCACATGGCAACAGCTGGAGAGAGGGAGGGAGGGAGGGGGGGAGAGAGAAATGGGTGGCTTAAGCTGGGATAAAGAACCATTTTCAGCCCGAGAATCACATTCCTTTCTGGGCAACCTTCTGAGGCCGTCCTTTCCTTAGGTGTCCACAGTACTGTATCTTTGCAAGTGGTGGGGTAGAACCCAGAGCAAACTGGTGCTGCTTCCAGAGGCTCCCTTGGCAGCACCACCAGACCCAGTGGTCACCAACCAGCACGGATACGAGCCAAGGAGGAAGCAATCTTTGTAGTTTGTGTGTCCCCACTGTTTCTCAGCTATGGAGCTTGGAGGGTACGATAGGATCCAGCCTATCGTGATGCCTGTGTGTGCAGGCTAGATAAGAGCCATAAAGCACTTACACTTCAGAGAACAATAAAATATTGGTGGCCACTGATATGGACATTACATATTTTGATGGCTGGGAGAATCAAGGGCAGAATAATTCGGTGTTATTGCCAAGCACCAGGAACCCAGGGAGCTGTGTGGCGTTACTGATTAACATCCTTCTTAGCATTATTTTCCTGACATCAGCATGGCTGAAAGCCAACTCACTAATAATCGCTCATATCAATACCAGTAAAGCATCATGGAAACTGCAGCGGTTACTGTGCAGCCAGAGATGAGCGCAGCAAGATCTCATTCCTCCCTGCAGATGCTTGTTGGAAAGCGAAAGTTCCTCTCCTGGACGAGCTAAAGAAGGAACAGACCAGGGCAAATCTCTGAAAACAGCGGAAGGAATGCAAAACACAGATTCTCCTGAAGAAGAAATGCAAAATACAGGTGATATAGGACGCATCGTTGGAATTTCAGGCTCAGAGGGCCCAGCCTCTCCTGTGGGACAACCCGGCCTAGGTGCCCCAAATCAACCGGCTCTGGACACGAACCCGCCAAACTCTTTCCCTCCAGCCTTTTGGGTAGTGACTCTTCCAGACAGCCCTGCAGAGAAAGTGGACCTTAGATGCTCCTCTGCAGTCCCAGCTGCAGACACAGACTGTGTCATCTGCTTTAACCGGTACAGTCTTAGCAGACTGCCAAAACTTCTGGCTTGCCAGCATGTCTTCTGCGCCGTCTGCCTGAAGCTTATCCTGAGGAACAACGGGAAGACGTGGGAAATTGTCTGCCCCATCTGCCGAAAAGCCACCTTCGTCTTTGGGGGCCTTATCTGCAGCCTCCGCGATAAGGAGCAAGCCGTTCTTGAGCCCTTGCCAAACCCTAGCTGGAATGCAGAGGGTCTCTTTCCTCTGGATGCTCGGAGAGGGAAGCCGCTGGCTCGTGGCACTTTCCACGTCAACCCAGATGATGGCGGCAGCAGCGATAATGTCAGGGTGGCTGCCAAGAGGCTAGTCTTCCTTCTGCTGCTCTCAGCCCTGCTCGCGGCCCTCATTCTACCTATCTTGGATCAGGGGCTGTTGAAGTGGGCCATCTGCATCACCATGGGCTTGGGACTGGCCTTAGCTGGGGTGCTTTGCTTCAACCCAAAGTGGAGGTGCAGCAGCCTCTGTGGTTCTCTCCCCTCCTGGAGAATGAGAGCAAGTCACATCACCTCTGTTGCCTGAAAGTTTCCCACACTGCAATTATTAAACTATGGAACCTTCTTCCAGAAGAGGTAGGGATGGTCACCAACATGGATGGCTTTAACCTGGACCTACTTGACCCGTGCGATCGCCTTACTCCATATAAACCCACTCGACCATTTCAATCTACAGAACTGGCATTGTTACAGGTGCGACCTAATACTTGTTTTACCTTTGTAAGAAATCATTTAGTGTGGCAAAACCTACACTTTGGAACTCCCTGCCTGTTGACATCAAGCAGGAGCCTTCACTGTACGCTTTTCAGCTCCTGCTAAAAACATTTTTGATTAGACAAGTCTACCCAGATACCTAGAATGTTGAAATGTGTTTCAATCTGTTTTTAGCTCGTTGGTGATTTTATTTTTGAATGTTCTGTTTTTAACTTTTTGACTGATAATCTTATTGTTTTATTCTTTTTGTACACCACTTCGTTTGTTTTTACAATTAAGAGGTACAGGTATATGGATTTTATGAGAAATAACAGAGCACCAGCCAAATTTATGGAGGATTAAGACTACCAATGGCTGTGTTCCACCTCCATTGCCAGAGGCTGCTGGGAATTACACTCATGCCCTCCTTGCAGGCTTCCCTTAATGGACATCTGGTTGGCTACTATGTGAAGAGGACGCTGGGTAAAATGGGTCTGATCCAGCAGTCCCTTCTTATGTTCTTAAAAACAGACACATGATGCGTGAGACGGTTTGGGTTGCAAACTTCCTTCAGCTGTGCTGCGCTGGCTGGGGCTGATAGTCTAGAACGAGGGCACTAGGCTGGGAATAGCTGGTATGCAAGGCCTGCTGGGAGCCTTGCAAATGGCAGTTAAACTGCCACAGTTGCTTACCATTGCCATGGTGCTGGCAGGTTCCAGCTTTTGTATGCAGAGCAACAACATCAGCATCCCAAAGTGGTCAACTACGATTGGTCTTCTGGTGGCCATTCCGTTCAAGCCCATTGGGACTTTAGGCCAATGGGGGGCTCGGACATGCATCGGAAGCAAGTTGATTGGTTGTGGGCTACCAGCTGCAGGGAATATAAGGCCAGGATCAGTGCCGTTTGGAGGTCAGTTGAACAGTCCTAGGGGGGCTGTGAAGTTCAGTGAGGATCTTAAGAAGACTCTGGAAGAGGGAAGCGGAGGAGCCTGAAGCCAGGAAGGTCTGTGAGAGAGGAGAGGAGGTCTCCTGTAATACGTTTGGGGAAGAATGGAGCCCAGTGAATCAGCTGTTAGGCAAGTCATCTGAAGAAGCTCCTGACCAGAGTGAAGACTCCTGGTGGTGACCTCAGGGAAGCCTGCCAGATAACTGAGGGGAAGTGAACCTGACCAGACTTCAAGTGAAGCGCTCCAAGCATATCTGAATTAACTGAGGTAGAGTTGGGAATGATACCTGGTTATTGCATAGCAGTACCTGCACCTCTCTGGACTACAACTCCATTGAGCCCTGGCCATATTGGCTGGGGCTGTGGGAGTTGGATTCCAAAAACATTTGGAGGGCCAAATATTTTCCATTCCTGGCTGAAAAGGAACAGCAGCAGACACCTAGCCATCTTCTTAAAGCAACACCAGCATTCTTGTAACATCTATTTAAGGCAGCAATAACATATTGCATCTGATGTTTAAATCACATTTACTTACTAGCAAGTATAATCTCATTATGTAGTATTAATAATAATCTTTAATAAATGTTAATATCTTTGTTTAACTACAAAGTATACATATCTGGTCTGTTTTCTTCTATGCCTAAATCCACAGGTACTGTATTTGTAAAAGGTAAGTAAGAAATAGTAAATAAGTAAGGTTTAAAAAAAAGGGTAAAGGACTCTTGGATGGTTAAGTTCCAGTCAAAGGTTACTATGGGGTTGCGGCGCTCATCTCGCTTTCAGGCCAAGGGAGCCGGCGTTTATCCACAGACAGCTTTCCAGGTCATGTGGCCAGCATGACTAAACAGCTTCTGGTGCAATGGAACACTGTGACAGAAGCCAGAGCGCATGGAAACACTATTAAAGTGGGTATTTTTGATTGAAGTATATATAAGGTGCATTATGGCTTGCAGCTGGTGCAATATGAAAACATCAGGGCCACAATTAGGGGTGAAGGAATTCAATTTGGCCTACATTTATAAGGAAAACAATCTTAATTTGCACCTTTTGAAACATGCTCAGTGAAGCACCACTGTCCTCTGAAATGTGTAGTTCTCTGAATTTTGCAAAGCAGTTCTCTAGCCAAGAGATGCACATGCTAGGGTAAAGTGTATATTAATATAATAGCATACAACCCTTTATAGAAGGGGAAATTGTTTTGCAAGAATTTGTATATCAGTCAAGATTGCATACAGGAGAAATAGGCACTAAAATGCTGAATTTTCATGAGAACTAGTTTTTTAAATTTGCAAACTGAGAAATGTTGGGTGCTGAATTTAAGAGTGGGAAAATGAGAAACCGGGGGGGGGGGGGATTGACAGATTTTTGCTGACCTCAGTCACAATCCAGGACAAAGGCAGAGGCTAAGCAATGGGGTCTAAGCCACCAGACCTCCACACCCACCCACATGGGGAGAAGCCCCTTTGAATTTGATGGAACTTATTTCTGAGTGCATGTGCATACAGGGGCAGCCGGAGATGTTTTGATGCCCGGGAAATGCCCCTTGCTTGCCTCCATGGTGGGAGTGGGGGTGAAGCTCTGCAAGGGTTTCTCCTCAAGCAAAAGTCCCTGCTGAATCTCCCTTTCTGCCACCTGGTGAGGGCTTCTCCTTGGTCTGGTTGGCCACTGTGGAAAAAGGATGCTGGACCAGATGGGCCATGGGCCTGATCCAGCAGGCTATGTTCATATGCCAATTTCCTGTTCAGATATTTAACTTCTGGAGACCCTGGGAGCAGAGAGCTGAATCCTGAAGGAAACTCTTGCAACTCATATGAACAACATTTTAACATTGTGAGTTATTGGGTTGTTTTTATTTTGATTATGTACTTAGTGGTTTTATATTCTGATTTTATCCTGTGAACTGCCCTGAGACCTGTGGGTGCGTATAGGGTGGTATATAAATTCAATAAATAATAATAATAAATAATTTTACTGATGATTTGTTAATTAGATTATATGACTTATGCTGTTTAGGCTTTCAAAGATTAGCAGCAGCCCCTTGAAATTGTGCTCATTAAAAAAAGGTAAGCAGCCAGTCCAGTTGTTAAAGGACTGATGAGATGTGATCCATTTGTCCACTCCACTCCCCCAATTAGCAGCCTAGCAGTTGTACTTTGAATTAATTTTTTCTGAGATCTTCAAAAGAGCCACATGTATAAGACGTGGCAATAATCTAGTCTGGAGGTTACCTGGTCTCAATCAACTGGAGTACGTGCCCCTCACAGGGGTGAACATGTGCCATGGGTCTCAAAAGGAAGAAAATAGCGGGTTTGTTACAGCACCTTAAAAACACCCCCACTATATTGTTCTGCAACTGCTTTTAATTCTGACTGTGTCCTTCTTCCACGTATCTCCCTCTGTCTTTTGAGACACCCAGAACTAGAAATCGACTGGAAAGAACCAGAAGGACTAATCCTGAAACTGGGCAAATTCTATTAACGTCAGCAGGAGCTATTAAGAAAACAAGGCAATAAATAAAGTACAGAGGTCGGGGTGATAAACTGAAGAAAAGATTGATTCGGGAGCAACACATGATTCCAGCTGGTAAAGGATGGCTTGGCTTTTAGAGTTGGATGACAAGGTGGCATCAGTGGCGTAGCGTGGGTTGTCAGCACCCGGGGCAAGGCAAGTAATTTGCGTCCCCTAGAGTGAGTGAGCCAGGTAGGGGCAGAGAGCTGCGAGTGCGAGTGCGCCCCCCCTCAAGATGTTGCGGTCGGTGCGGCCGCCCCCCCCCGCACCCCCCACGCTACGCCACTGGGTGGCATGAATGGTTCCAATTGCTTCAAGGGAGATCACAGCCAGGTAGCTTGTAAAATAATCTCTGGCTAGCCAGAGATCCAACTGCTAGATCAGTGTTTCCCAACCGGTGTTCCGCGGCACAGTAGTGTGCCGCGAGACCTTGCCTGGTGTGCCGTGGGAGGGAGGCGGGCGAGTCGGGCGGCGAGAGGCGGGGCGGCGGCGGCGAGGATCCGCGTCGAGCCGGGGGCGGCTCCGCGGTGGTGGTGCCGAGGTTTCTCTCTCCATTCTCCCCTCACACACACACACAGGAAATAACACAGGATCAGCTGACAGGATCCGGCCAATGGGGCGGCGGCGGGGCAGCGCGCGCAAAAGGGAGGAGCGCGAGACAGCGGACGAGGAGGAGGCCGGCATGTCCGGGCAGCAGCAGCAACAGCAGCAGCAGCAACTCCCGGTGACGGCTCCTCAAGCCCCGGGCAACCCTACTCCCTCACCGGCCTCGGCCGCCCTCCTGCTCCACCCGCCGCCGCCTCCCCCGCCGCCGCCAGCCACCTCGGCCCCGCCGCCGCCCCCTCCTCCGCCCACTATCGCCGCCACCACCACAACAGCCGCCGCCGCCTCAGCTGGGCCCATGCCTGCCGGGAGCGGCGGCGGCAGCAGCAGCAGCAGCGCCCTGGCGCCCTTCCCTCACGGCGGCGACCCGGCCCTGCAGTGGCGTAGCGTGGGGGTGCAGGGGGGGGCCGGCCGCACCGGGCGCAACATCTGCGGGGGGCGCACTCGCAGCTCTCTGCCCCTCCCGAGGTTTCTGGGTTAGCGGAGTCTGTAACCTGAAGCGTATGTAACCCGAGGTACCACTGTACTTCCAAGTCAGCGTGCAAGGGATTGCAGGACCGGCGGACTTGGCGGTGGTTGCTGGAGCCTTGTCTGTCCTTTCAGCCCCGCACCCACCGCAGACCCCTTCCTATGCCACTGGTAGCTAGGCGAGGCGGGGGGCACTGGGCGCCACACCTCGGCGCCTGCAGCGTGCCTGAGCCATGCGTCTGCGGGCGAACTGCCCGCAAGCTCCGCTCTGGCCTCTGCCCACCGCCTCAGCCTCCCTACAGCTGAGGGGGAGGCTGCAGCGAGGCTCCACACAGCGCGCCCTGCCATGGCTCGCCCCCATGGCACTCGCCCCTGGCTGCAGGACGCGCGCGCCGCCCCGGGCCCCTGAGCGGCTAGCTGCGCCGCTGCGCTGAGCGCAAGGAATACGTCCTCTCCGAGTTCGGCGTCCTCTTCGTGGGCAGCGCGAACCGCATCTCCAGCTTCGGGTGGAACTTTGGCCAGGTAGGGGGAAGCCTTTGGGCGGGGGGGGTGGAGACCGGGGTGGGGAGGGGTTAGGAGAGACGCTACCGGCGCCGTCCAGAAATGCCCAGAGCAACTGGAGCTCAGCTACGCGCACACATGCGCCCTCCAAATCCCGTTTCCCACCCCTTTCTCAAAAGAGAGAAAAAATGGGTCCTGGGTGTGAAACCAAAGGACCTTTCCAGCTCCTCCTCAATTCCAGGTGTGGATGGCAATGCCTCGTGTCTCCTCCCCCGCGACCAGAGCACACTTCCTAGGCTGGTTGGACGGTCCCTGGGGGTCTTCGGGTTGCCATATTTTGAAGAGCAAAAAACAGGACACATTTGTCGACTTCTGCTTTTAGCTATGGATCAGTGGCCTAGCGTGGGGGGTGCAGGGGGGGGCCGGCCACACCGGGCGCAACATCTGGGGGTTAGTGTTAGGGGGCGCAAATCCACGGGTTAGGGGGCGCAAATTACTTGCATTGCCCCGGGTGCTGACAACCCACGCTACGCCACTGCGGCCCTGAACGAGCAGGAGAAGGAGCTCAAGTGACGCTGCGCGCTGACGTCACGGGGCTGTAATGGTGGTGTGCCTCGAGATTTTTTTCATCAAACAAGTGTGCCTTTGCCCAAAAAAGGTTGGGAAACACTGTGCTAGATGATCATAAAGCAGTTAGAAGCTGAGAGCTCAGCCTAAGTATCTGTATGAGCTCCACGAGGGATGGCGGAAGAATCTGATCATAGAATCATAGAATTGTAGAGTTGGAAGACACCACAAGGATCATCTAGCGGCAAGCAAATCCCACCCATGAAACACATCCCCTTTTTAAGGTCCCAACGGGCTTCCCGCAGGCCAGGTGACCGCTCTGGTCCTGTTCTCTATGATCCACGCGTCAGATGACCGCTCTGCAATCCATTTCTCTATGACCCCCTTCATTAGTTGCTTCCGCGTCAGGCGGAAGTGGGCGTGGCGCGCAGGCGCAGTAGCGAGAACAGCGTTCGCCGCCGACTGACAGGAGCCGGTTTTCGGGCTCTCCCGCGACGATGTCCCGCAAGCAAGCGGCGAAGGCCCGGCCGGGGAAGGCGGAGACGGAACGGAAACGGGACGAGCGAGCGGCTCGGAGGGCGCTGGCGCGGGAAAGGCGGAACCGACCCCAGGCCGAGGGCGAGGGAGGCCTGGCCGGGCAGCTGCAGGCGCTCGGGCTGCGCCTCAGGGAGGTGCCGGGCGACGGGTGAGCCATGCCCCGCCCTCTCAGCTTTGAAACTCCGCCCACCGCAACGGCTCCTGCTCGCGAGAGGCAGATCTAAACTACACCCGCCTACAACCCCCACGCCCCGCCCACAGCCGCCCTCTGCGCGCGAGGGTTCCAAGCCACGGCAGCTGAGGCGCCAGTGGTTGCTTTGTTCCGTCCCTCAACTTTGATGTCTAGAAGCAAACTCCGCCCACTCTCAGTGGCTCCGCCCATACGGCCCAGCAAACGTTCTGAGCCAAGACCCCGTTCCCAATATCTTTCTTTAGCATTGTCAGCTTATTTTATGGCGTTTTTAAAAGGCCCCTGTGCTTTTATCAAGCTCAAAACAGTCAGGAGTCTGGCATGTAAAGCTTTCCTTCTCTCCATGGTAGGAAGTTGTGGGGA